ATACCAGGTAAGCCAAGAGCATGTGGAAATACTTAGATTAATAAAAATGGTTTAATAATTAAGAGAGAGCGAGCTAGCCAATAAGAAGCCTGAGCCATTGGCCAAACAGTTTATAATTAGTATAAACCTCTCTGTGTTTACTTGGGACTAAATGGCTCTGGGACCAGGCGAAACAAAAACTCCATCTACAGCTGTTGTTGCAGAGAACCTGAGTCAGTTCTCAATACCCTAGTCCAGTGGCTGGCAGTTTCAAGGGATCCAACACCCTCTTCCATGGTCACTGTACTCAAATGTATAAACCCAAATTCAGATACACACGTAGACATGCAATTAAAAATAAGATATTTTAAAATATAAAAACAAATAAAAGTACATAAGTGGTAAAAACCAAGAGTTAACATAACACCCTCTAAGAATTTCTTCTCCTTTTTTGTCATTTGGAAGGAATGGCTGTCTTTGAGGACTGATAAACTGGACATCTGAGAAGCTGGGTATTCTGAGTGGTAGAATCTGGGCACCAAGGAGGGGATCATGAGGAGGGGAAGGTCCTGTGCCTGGTAGGATTGTTCATGTTGTCTGGCCATTGCTTTATGTTTGTATATCAGTTAGTGTTGCTCTGTATTAAAGGATAATTCCTAATGTCCGTGTGTGTTAGAAGCTACAAAAATGATCCCTCTATCAATGTCCTGCTAGTTTCCAGGGAAAACTGTCTTCTGTGTTGACTTTTGTTCATCCACCTCATAGAACTAATGTGATCCTGAGAGAGCCAAAGTCACTGCTGTGGTCGGAGGAATGAAGGGATGGCTCTTAGCTGGCATCTCCATGTCTAGAAGATAGTCTTAATTATAACCATAGATAGCCAGGAGAATTTTGATAAGGAATTTATGTTTATTGTACAAAAGTTCATTATTTCACAACTGCTAAGTTTTATATGTTCCAGGGTGACAAAATGTGGTAAAATGTTCAGCCTGTGAATAAGCCAACTTGTAAATATGTTGGAAATGTCAGGAGATATTTCTTCTGAGCATAGAATGAGCACTGCACTTCCAGGCAGGGATGTCAGAACATGTTCATTAAGCTCACAGTGACAGCTGCATGGGTGTGTTCAGGTTGACAGGTTGATGAGCACCACTGACACATGTGCATTTTCTAGCAGAAACATAGTAATTTATTGCAAGGAGAACATACTTTCCTACTGATGTTTTAGTAGAATGGATCTAATTCTGACTCTCAGAAACCTTGTCTAGTGTAGACTGCTGCCTCATGTTTCATGTTAAATTGGGGAATATATAATCTTAATTGCAACTCTGTCAAGATTTTGATCTAGAGGCCTGCTGCCATTTTTCTCATCTGTTAGTTTTTTGTCACCAAGGAATTCAGGATTATAATTTCTTTCTAGCAGGTAGATATCATAGTATATTTTTATTTTCAAAGCACTCATATAGCCTGGGGCTTTTTTGATGAATATTCACAATGTGTGGGAAAGAATGACACATACTGGACTCTACCTATTGCTGAATGCACAGACAGGATTAGGAAATGCCTAAGACAGAATCAGCCGACTGCTTACACCTGTGACTTTGTTCAGTGCTTGTGTTTTGATTTTCTGTGATCCATCTGTTAAAAGAAAATAAAAGTTCTTAGAGATTCTGCTCTCATCAGAGCTATCATCAAAGAAGCCTCCTCTTGCAGTAGATAGGAACAAATACAAAGACCCACAGCTGGACAATGAAGTCAGCTTATTGACTTATTTTTTAGACCAATAGCAGTTGTTTTTACCCCAGGTCTCTGGGCTACCCAATCTATGGTACTAGGTTACACAAGCAGTGTCAGGTATGGGTTCCTTCTCTGGAGTGGGCCTTAAGTCAACCCAGGAATTGGTTGGTTACTCCCACAAATTCTGTGCCACTGTTGCCCTAGCATATTTTCCAGATTGTAAATCAAAGGTTTTGTGGCTGGATTTGTGTCCACATTTCTATTTCAGAAGTCTGCAGAGTAACTTTACGCACCAAAAAGTCTAGAACAAAAGGTTGAAGGGCTCCATGTAGGCACCAGCTGTACTTCCCCATGTTTTCTGAGTTGTATGAATATTGTTCTCAGAAATAGGTTTCTACTATCAGTTTGCAGGGAGCAACCTAATGCCTTAGCATCAGCATGGCTTCTTTGGAGGTTTCCATGGTACTCCCTTCTCCAACAACTCTATTAAATGCAACCCACTTCCTCCATTGGAGACCTTGTCTGGCTACAAGAGATGGCCAGTTGAAACTCTGTAGTATCACCTGCATAGATTCCAAGAAGTTATTACTGTACTAGGCTTCCACACCACACCATCAGATGCCACCCAATTCCAGCTGTCTCTCCCTCCCATTCTCTCCCCTCCAATCCTTTCCCCCCCATCACCTTATCTCTTCCATTACTGTTCCCAGTCCAACCATAATAAAATCTATTCTATTTCCCCTTCTCAGGAAGATACATGCATCTTCCCAATCCCTCCTCATTTTTAACATCTCTGGGTCTATGGATTGTTGTTTGGTTACCATTTATTTATTGACTAATATCCACTTATAAATGGATGCATAACATATTTGTCTTTCTGGGTCTGGGTTACCTTACTCAGGATAATTTTTTTCTATTTCCATCCATTTGCCTCTAAATGTCATTTTTTAAACAGCTGAGTAATACTCAATTGTATAAATGTACAATATTTTCTTTGTCCATTCTTCTTTTGAGGGGAAACTAGTTTGTTCCAGTTTCTATTATGAATAAAACCACAAGGTTTTCCTGATGGATTGAGCTGTCATTTATATTATTGATCTTAGCCATTCTGACAGGAGTAGGATGGAATGTCAATGCAGTTTGGTTTGCATTTCCATTATGGTTAAGAATGTTGAATATTTCTTAAAGTGTTTAAGTTTTGAGATTCCTTTATAGAGAATTCTCTCATAATGTCCTATTTTTAATTAGATTATTTGGTTTTTTGATATCTAGTTTCTTGGGTTCTTTATAAATTTTGGATATTAGCCACCTACTACATGTGGAGTTGGTAAAAATCTTTTCCCATTTTGCAGTCTGACACCTTGTCCACTGGCAGTGTCCTTTGCCTTACAGAAGCTCTTTAGTTTTATGAGGTCCCACTTATTAATTGTTGCTCTTAGTACCTACACTATCAGTGTTCTGTTCAGGAAGTTGTCTCCTATGTCAATGTGTTCAAGGTTATTCCCTGCTTTCTCTTATATCAGGTTCAGTGCACCTGGTTTTATGTTGAGGTATTTGGCCCACTTGGACTTCAGTTTTGTGAAGGGAGATAAATATGGATCTATTTGCATTCCTATATATGTAGGCATCCAGTCTAACCAGCACAATTTGTTGAAGATGCTGTCTTTTCTCAGTGTGTATTTATGGCTTTTTATAAGAAAGAAAAAAAGACAGAAAGGAAGAAAGGAAGGAAGGAAGAGAGGGAGGGAGGGAGGAAGGAAGGAAGGAAGGAAGGAAGAAAGAAAGAAAGAAAGAAAAAAGAAAGAAAGAAAGAAAGGAATCAGCTGTCCATATGTGTTTGGACTTATGTTTGGATCTTAATTTGATTACATTGATCGATGTGTCTATTTTACACCACTAATGTGTGATTTTTATTACTAGATCTCTGTAGTAAAACCTGAAATCAGGGATGTTGGTCCCTCCAGCAGTTCTTTTATTGTTCAGGATTGTTTTAGCTATCCTGGGTATTTTGTTTTTCCATATGAAGTTGAGAGTTGTCCTTTCAAGGTTTGTAAAGAATTGTGTGGTTTGGGTATCAAAGTAACCATGGCCTCACAAGATGAATTGGGCAATATTCCTATTTGGGGGATAATTTGAGAAGTATTGGCATTAGCTCTTCTTTGAAAGTCTGGTCTGGTGGAATTCTGCATCATCTGGTCCTGGCTTTTTTTTTTTTGGAGGGGGGGGGAGATTTTAATGACTTCAAGTTTTCTAGGGGTTATATGTCTACTTAATTGTTCATCGAATCTTGATTTCTTGATTTGACTTTGGTAAGTAATGCCTATTGAGAAAATTATTTATGTATTTAAGATTTTTCAATTTGGTGGAGTATAGGTTTTTAAAGTATGACCTAATGATTATCTGGATACCTTTGTGTCTTTTATTATGTCCCCCTTTTTGTTTTAGTTATTTGTATAGTCTCTCTCCATCTTTTAGTTTGTTTGAATAAGGATTTGTCTATCTTGTTGGTTTTCTCAAAAGAACCAACTGTTTGTTTCATTGATTCTTTGTGTTTTTTTTCTATTTTATTAATTTCTTCCCTGAGTTTAATTATTTTCTGCTGCCTACTCCTGTTGTGTTTCATAAGTTGGGGTGTGCTGAGTATTAATTTTCACTGAGTACTGAATTCTAGAAAGTCTTTAATTTATTTCTTTAATTCCATCTTGACCCATTTTTTAATTTAGTAGATAGTTATTCTATTTCCTGAGTTCGTAAGCTTTCTGTTGTTTCTGTTGTTAATATCCAGCTTTAATCTGTGATGGCATGATAGGACACAGCAAGGTGTTTCTTTTTTTGTGTGTGTGTCTTTTGACACTTACCTTGTATCCCAATATGTGGACAGTTTTGGCAAAAGCTCAATAATGTGCTGAGAAGAAAATGTATGCTTTGTGTTTGGATAAAATGTTGTGTATCCATCTGTTGGGTCCATTTGGTTTTCAACATCTGTTAGCTACAGTATTTCTTTGTTTAGTTTTTGTCTGAATGACCTGCCCATTGGTGAAGTGGAATATCAAAGTCTCCCACAGTGTTTGAGGGTCAGTACATGACTTAAGTTGCAGTGGTGTTCCTTTTACAATCTTGTGTGCACTTGTGTTTGGTCAATAGATGTTAAGAATTGAAAAGTCGACCCAGAGCTGCTGCTTACCATCGTGATAGATGCCACCTTGGTGCGGGATGGCCGCGGAGCCGGGTGGGAGAGTTCCAAGGCTCCAGGAGCCGGCTCTCGGGGCTGAGACATGCAGCTAAGCGGGCCTCACTCGGACACTGTCGCCATGCCCAAGAGAGGAAAGCGGCTCAAGTTCCGGGCCCACGATGCCTGCTCGGGCCAAGTGACCGTGGCGGATTATGCCAACTCGGATCCGACGGTGGTGAGGTCTGGACGGGTCAAGAAAGCCGTGGCCAACGCTGTCCAGCAGGAAGTAAAATCTCTTTGTGGCTTGGAAGCCTCCCAGGTTCCTGCAGAGGAGGCTCTTTCTGGGGTGGGTGAGCCGTGTGGCGTCATGGACAGCAGTAATGAGATGGATGCTCAGGAGGAAAGCACTCATGAAAGATCAGTCTCCAGAAAAAAAGAAAAGCAAAAGACACAAAGAGGATCTGGATGGGGCAGGAGAAGAGTATCCTATGGATATTTGGCTGTTGCTGGCGTCCCATATCCATCCTGAGGACATTGTGAACTTTGCCCTGATTTGTAAGAATGCTTGGACTGTCACTTGCACTGCTGCCTTTTGGACCAGGTTGTACCGAAGGCACTACACGCTGGATGCTTCTCTGCCTTTGCGGCTTCCACCAGAGTCCATGGAGAAGCTGCGGTGTCTCCGGGCATGTGTGATCCGATCTCTATACCATATGTACGAACCATTTGCTGCTCAAATCTCCAAGAATCCAGCCATTCCAGAAAGCACTCCCAGCACACTAAAGAATTCCAAATGCTTACTTTTCTGGTGCAGAAAGATTGTTGGGAACAGACAAGAACCAATATGGGAGTTCAACTTCAAGTTCAAAAAACAGCCTCCTAGATTAAAGAGCAAGTGTATGGAGCGGTTGCAGCCCCCCATTCAGTATGAGGATGTCCACACCAACCCTGACCAGGACTGCTGCCTCTTGCAAGTCACCACCCTCAAATTCATCTTTGTCCCTATTGTCATGGGGATGATATTCACCTTGTTTACTATTAATATGAGTACGGACATGCGGCATCATCGATTGAGATTGGTGTTTCAAGATTCTCCTGTCCGTGGTGGTCAGAATCTGCGCAGTGAACAGGGTGTGCAAGTCGTCCTGGACCCAGTGCACAGTGTTCGACTCTTTGACTGGTGGCATCCCCAGTACCCATTCTCCCTGAGGGTGTAGCTCCTGCTGCTTATCCCTTGGGACGGCATCCAGTCTAGTCTGTTAGTAATCAGGTTCTGTTTGGAGGGCAGCTGGGTTGTATACCTGATTAGTGATGCACATTCTGTTTGGGTTCCTGGGGCTCCAATTGCAGGAGGTGGAAAGGTTGAATCAAGAGGAAAAACAAGTATGATTTATAAACATTTTAATGTAAAGTTTGCATACTTCAAAGGAGAAACCTGGCCTCATTTTCTGTGTTAAACCCAACCGGTGCTGTTGAGTTTGTTCTTTATTCTTTTATCTCAACAAAGATGGGTGATCTTGCACCAGGGAAAAGATTAGACTCTTAGTTTTCAAGCAAGGAAGTTTTCCCTTGTGCATCAGAGGACCAGGGTTTAAATGTTTGCTCCATCGTTGCTGCTCCTCAAATTCAAGTGAATATTTTTTTTTCTTTTCCCTTTACTCTTCTCCAGAAATAAAGCAGGTGACAGGGTTGTCAGAATCATAAAAAAAAAAGAAAAAAAGAAAAGAAAAAGAAAAAAGAAAAGAAAAAAAGAATTGAAAAGTCATCTTGCTGGATTTTTCCTTTGATAAGTATGTAGTTCCCTTCCCAATCTCTTTTGATCAGTTTTTGTTTGAAGTTTATTTTGTTAGACATTAAAAATGACTACTTGCCTCTCTGGTCCATTCCCTTAGAATTTCTTTTTTACAGTCCTTTACCATGAGGTATTGCCTATCTTTAATGCTGTGGTGTTTCTTGAATACAGTAGAAGGAAGGATCCTGGTTTTGTATCTATTCTGTTAGCCCCTTTTTACTAAGGAATCGTGACCATTGACATTGAGAGAAATCAATGACAAATATTGTTAATTTCTATTATTTTGGTGGTGGTAAAGTGGGGAGAGTGTGTGTCTGCTTTCCTTCTATGGGTTTTTGTTTGTTTGTTTGTTCGTTTTTTGTTTGTGTGTGTGTGAGAGATTGTTTATTTCCTGTGTTTTCATGGGTGTAGTTAACCTCCTTATGTTGGCGTTTTCCTTCTAGCACCTTTTGTCAGGCTGTATTTTCAGATAGATAGTTTAAATTTGACTTTAATATGTAATATTTTTTCTCCATCTGTGAGTAATGGAAAGTTTTGCTGGGTATAATAGTCTGAGCTGGCATCTGTGGTCTCTTAAGAGTCTGCAGCAACTTTGTCCTAACCCTTCTGGCTTTTAGAGTCTCCATTAAGAAGTCATGTGTTATTCTAATAGGTACTCCCTCATGTTACTTGGTTTATTACCCTTGTAGTTTTTAATATTCTTTCTTTATCTGTATTCTTGGTATTTTGATTATTATGTTGCAAAGGGACTTTCTTTTCTGGTCCAATCTATTTGGTGCTCTTTGTGCTTCTTGTACCTTTACAGGCATCTCCTTCTTTGGGTTAGGAAATTTTTCTTATATATTTTTATTGAAGACATTTTTCTGGCCTTTGAGTTATGTTTCTTCTTCTGTTATTGATTGTGTTCTTACACTAGCATCTAGGCAGGTGAGTTTGGAATAATTGTATGAGTAGGTGTTGATTTCTAAATTTGTCATTGTTGAGTGGGTGCTTTGTTCCTTGATTTATGTTTGCTCTCTGGGTTTTTCAAGGGTGTGATGGCTGTGTGTGGCCTGTTTTCCTGGCCTGCTTAGCTGATGTATTCATATGGAATCCCTGCTGATGATGGAGGCTAGAATACTAGGATGAGTTGAGGGAAGGATGAAGGAGTTCTTTATGATCCACTGGGGATGTGGTCAGAGAAGAGAGGGAGACCACATCAGATTTCCTGCTACAGAGCTGGGAATGAGACTTGGGGGATTGGATCCCAGGTGCAGTAGGAGAGGTGTGGGTCTGACTTCAGCGAACTTGTTGCTTAAATCTTGGAATCAAACCAGCATCATCAAAATGCACTCTTTTGCCAGACATATAGAGTCATATTTGCCAACATTTCATGAGCATTGTCAATAAGGATCTTAAAAAGACACTGTGCTACACTGTTCCTGTCTTGAAAATATTTCCCAGGGTTTTGACCTCAAAATCATACTGATTTTCTGAAATAGATTAAAATCTGTTCCTTATTTCACTATTCACTGGAAGTATTTTGTGTTTTTACTTCTCTCAGTGTTGAGGAATAAGGCATTCTGGAATTTCTTGGCAAAAAGGTTTAAATTAGAGTTTCCATTACTTAACAGATATGTAATACTCAAAGATTGATCTTATTTAGCCATCAGCTTTATTAAGTTGTATTTCCTAAAATTTTATCCACTCTGTGCAATATTCCAATGCACTGATGTTGAGTGATTATACTCATGTCCCCTGTGTGTTTTCATTTTCATCCCCCATCTCTGATACTGATAAATGGTCACTCCCTACTCTTATTACCTGACCACTCTTACAAGAAGATTACCATTTTATTAATCTTTTCAAATAACAAATATTCAGCATTGGTCAGTTTTGTCATTATATATATTTTTAGATTTTTAAAAATTTTATCCTTTACTTTTGAGGTTTGACTGTTTACTAATTTTAGTCTTTCTTTTTGATACATGCATATAAAAGCTTATGAAGCTTCTGGAGACAGCCTTTCCCCAGCTCACAAGTTTGATATGACACATCTGAGTTGCATTTCCTGCTGCTGCGACAAGTTTCAAGTGATTGCAGGCAGGTGCTCGGCTCTCTTTCTCCATCTATACCAGTCTGGGATGCCCTGTCCAGGAATGATATTAAAATGGGTCTTCCTGCATCCCTTGCCATGGTTAAGAAAATCTCCTATATCTGTTCCCAGAGACCAGTCTCCCAGTAATTTTTGACCCTTTGAAGAGATCAACTAATACCAACCATGAGAGCACATTACAAATATTTCAAAATTCATTTCCCCTTTTATTGTTACTTCTTTGACAAAAGATTTATCTTGATGAACGTGGCACCGTATTTCAAGGTTTAAGGCATTACAGATTGCATTGCCATTGGTTTTAATTACACAATGGTTAAACACCATTTTATGTTTCTTCAAACATTTTGTTCAGCACACAGTCAATTTGATAACAGCTCTACATATGGAAAACATATATTCTGTTAATAGGAGCTCAGTGAGTTTGTTATCAAAAAGACAGTGTTACACTCTGAGAAAATCAAAGGCTTCTGGGAAATGATCAAATGGAGACCTGGATCTTCAAGAATTAGAGAAGAGCATCCTTGAAGGCCATGTGTGAGTCAGGTGCCATGGTGTTTCCAGGTTCTTTTCATAATCACTGAGCACAGTGAGCCAAGAAAATCCAATGAGACACAATGATTATAATGAGGGAACATGAATGCCATTCACAGAGAACAAACCTGCAAAACCAGCCAGAACTAATGACTGAATTCTGACAGTCATGGAAAGTCATCTAACATACAATTGCATAACCCCCACACACATACCAAGAATGATCAACTGGAAAAATTAAAATTTTGAATGCTATATGTTATGCCATCAGAATATTCATTATATAATGTATATGTAATATGTATACACACATATTACATAAGCACTACTTTAGGGCTGGAGAGATGGCTCAGAGATTGAGAGCACTGCCTGCTCTTCCAGAGATCCTAAATTCAATTCCCAGCAACCATATGGTGGCTCACAGATGTCTCTTATGAGATCTGGTGCATCTTCTGGAGTGCAGATTTACATGGGAAGCAGAATGTTGCATACATAATAAGTAAATAAAATATTTTTAAAAGAACTACTTTAATAAAAAATATGTAAGAATTCAATACTAATAATTGCTACATACAATTATTAGGGGGGAGGGGGAGAAGGACCTTAACAAATAGGGAGTAGAAAACTCAATAATGTTAAGGTGTTAATTTAGTGTTACACATCAGACCAAACACGGTGGTAGACTTCAGCACTGAAACAGGAAGATTTGTATTTCAAGATCAACCTCTGCTAAGATCAACCTGAGCTTATGAAACACTGCCTCAAAACATTAAAAAAGAAAGACATACAGTAGATGGATTTTCCAACTGCTAGCCAATATTGCTGGGAACTTGACCCAGGGCCTGATCTTTTGCTGGCTAGGAGTTTAAATGATACAGTAAACTGTTCATTTGCATTTTTTCACAAGAAAATTTAGTTAAATTCAGGGCATTCCCCACTGTCCTTTTTATACAGAAGTTTTTGTGAACCTGCAAAAAATCTAGAAAAGTGAAAGCAAAGTAACAACATTTAAAGATGCATACCGACAGATTTCAGGATTTAGAGTTCAGAAATATATCTGGAAAGATCTCTTTATCTCGACATAGAGATTTGTCCAGATGCACACATTTATAGTGGATATAGCTCCATTAGCTGGGGTTTCTTAGAAAAAAATAGAATTAATAGCAGACTCAGAGACAGACAAATGGTAGATACATACAGACAGACAGATAGATATGGATATGTGTAGATAGATGATATGTAGATGATAATCATGTAGACAGATGCATATATACATAATACATACATACATGCATGCTTACATATATACTAAGACAAACACACAGAAAGACAGACTAGAAGGTATTGGCTCACATGACAGTGAAAGCTAAGATACCCAGAGAGAGTCAGCAAGCTGAAACTTCACAGAGCCAGTGGCACAGCTACAGTGTAAGTCTAAAGACTTTAGAATCTAAGGTTTAGAGTTGAGATCCATGAGAACTGATTGCACAGTTCTAACACAAGGCTAGTATTCTGAAGACCCAGAAAGAGCCAATGTTTCAATTAAAATTTGTTATGTTGAAAACTTGATTGGATTGTGAAAGACCTGGGAGATGACCAAAGCACATTTCTGGGATTATCTGCAATGCATTCCCAAGATGATCAGATCATGAATGCTCACACGCATGCACACTTTTACACACACAATCACACACATCCACAAGTACTGGATCAACATGCAGTAAATGGAGGTGGGTTGATATTTCCTCAGTGGAAGTGATTTTCAGATGTTGGCAATGCCTGGGAGACTGAAGAACACC